AAGCTTATGGAATGAGGTCAACTTTACCCTTTGGAAAGCAAATGAAATTCAAGGGTTAATAAGTATACTTTGGTATATATTGCAACTTCAGATACATGCACAGCGTCAAATTCTCAGCTGCATTTAGTTGGTAAAAATTAGTGCTGTTGAGGTCCTACAATTTGAACTTGATAGACATGTTATAATATATCATAGCATTACAAATGAATAACTAAAGACCAAGATATAAAAAGAAATCCCTCCAATATTTTTTAAAATCCCGAGGTTCAGGTGCATGATAATACACTTTGAAATGTATCCAAGCACAGGAATGTAATGAAAATCTGCTCTTTTTTAGTTCCTCTCAGATGGTTGAAATTTTGATTTCCAAAGATGTTCAAAATATTTCTAACAGTCATACGGTTGCCATTTGGTTTTATTGAAACTTAGTGCGGAAGAGAGATGGTTTAGTAGGATAAACAAAGAAGATTCAGAGAGCTATTGATTCAAAACAGCTTCTTTTAACAGCTTAGCCTGTATTCAGTTTTCATTTGCAAAACAGGGTCAAGGAAGTTAATCCATCAATAGAAATGCTATTATGAATAACAATGTGGATTTTAACCACTAGAAAACTATCAAAAATGAGAGGAAAGGTTGATAGAACCACTCAGAATACAGACAACAGGATTACATTCATCTACTTATTCAAGGTCTCTGTCCGGTAGTTTTATATATTGTATACTTTTTTACAAATACTAACTCTCAAAAAAGTGTAATAGAATAGTTTATAAGCATTTCACTCATTTAATGATAGAAATTTATACAGTACCAAGAAAAAAGGCACACTAACATGATGCCTTGTTTTATATCTTATATATTCATTTCTATAAAAGAAAATAATAAATTTACATTAGTGCTGTCAAAAATTTCATTACCAGTACACATACGAACACATGCATGTGTATATATACTCATGCATGTGTATGTATATTACAGATCTATATGTAAATATATGTTATATGTATATGCATATATAGATGTGTCTCATTTTACAGATTCTCTCTCTCTTTTTTTTTTTTTTTTTTTTGGGGGGGTTT